GGGGGGGGGGGGCAGGAATTGGACCTGCAACCCAGATATGTGCCCTTCACCAGGAATTGAACCCAAGACCCTTGGGTGCGTAGGCCAACACTCTAACCAGTGATCTGCACTGGCCAGGGCTAGAACTACTTTTATACCTCAAGTTTACCATTTTACAGACCATACATACAAATATTTTGGTGGATATATTTCTACGGTAGAATTTTGATAGCCATTGAAATCTTCTTTGGAAAGGCCCATTTTTTGTCTTTGTGAAGTGGAGAATAGTTTTCTGACTTAATTTTTAAAGCACTAGTCTCAGCTCAATCTAAAAAGCAAGTCATGTCCATGTCTATGATAATTCATTATGTTTAGAAATATTAAAAGTTAAGATTGGTGCTCAATATGTTAATTCATTTTTAAAATTTGTTATAATTTGAACCTTTTCATTGGATAATATTTCCTTGACCCTATCAAGCTGTGAAAGTAGTTAGGATCTGAAAAAGTTGGAAATGAGTTAGCCTTCTGTGAGGAGGTCCTGTGCACTTCGCTGAGGAAATCTGAGGCCATTGACAGTCGGGTACATACAGCTGAGTTACAGCTGACACTGACCCTGATCATGCACAAGCAGAAAAGGTTCTTGTGTTTACCATGCAACTTGGTTTTTAAATTTAACCAAGTTGCAGTTTCAAATCACAGTTTTTGAAATACCCAGTTAATGTCCTTTTGGCATTTTTAATAAAATCAGCCTTTAGCCACTTTCTTTGAGGACTTTTACATTCTATATAACAAGCCCCATTTCTGCTCATTTGTTTTGTGTGCTTTCATTTAAGCAGTACTTTCAAAATACTTTAATAACCAGCTATTGGAATTGCATGTGATACACGAAAGTTGTTTAAATCTGATTTATGAGGCTTTTGTTTCTATTTATGACTCAAATAAGAGCATTTTAAATGTGTACTCCAAGGCTCTGTCCAGCTAGCTCAGTTGGTTAGAGCATCATCCCCATATGCCAAGGTTGAGGGTTTGATCCCCGGTCAGGGCACAAGAAACAACCAATGAATGCATAAGTAAGTGGAAAAACAAAATGTTTCTCTCTCAAATCAATTTTAAGAAATATTTAAAATGCTGTTTCTCTCTCAAATCAGTTTTTTAAAATAAATAAGTAAATGTGTACTCCGAGCTCCTCCAGGTGCTAAGCTAAGCGAGGTGGCAGGCCCTGTGCTCTGTCTAGAGCAGTGATGTGATGACAGAGGTAAGGCAGGTGAGGCCGATGCTCTGGATCTGTGCCATCCAAGATGCTGGTCATCAGCCACATGTAGCCATTGAATGCTTAAAATGTGGAATGTGTGACCAAGTCATGAAATTTTAAATTTTATTTAATTTTAATTAATTTAAATGGAAGTGGTCACGTAGCTGGTGGCTACTGCATCGAACACATAGCTCTAGAATGTGCCTCCTTATTGGGAGTCACTTAGTAAGAGCCAGCTGCAGCATAGCCTGTGACTTTCCCTCATAAAGACTCACTCTCAGTACCTAATACTTTGTCCTTTAAAAATTTTTAGTAGCCTAGAATTATTACCTTATAGTAAGCACTTCAGTGCCATAGAAATTCCTGGAAGTAGAATTTAACAGAATTCTATGTTCCTATTTATTTTTAAGGGGGGGAAAAAGTACTGTTTGGTAACTGTGTAAATAAATAGAATAAAGACACTTAAAATGGAATTAACTCTAACCAAACTAATAGAATGGTGTATATTTTACATACAGTTCTGATTTGTAGGGGGATACTCTACATTTAACTTCTTGATTACATTTTTGTTAGATAAGTTTAGTTTCCATTTCTCAAACTGCATCTATTGATGACAGCTGGAAACTATGCCTGGAGCATGTGGGTGCAAAGGCGAACACGTAGCTGACAGGGTGGGTAATAAGCCAATGTTGACAGTCTCACGATTGACCTACTAGACAATAAACTCATTTTTGTTGGGGGGAAAACTGTTCCTTTGCCTCTTAGGTGGGAACCGGTATTTTTAGCATAATTACTCGACTGAGTCCTTAGTTCAAGTACCCCCCTCCCCCATTTTTTAGTAAAACCATGAAACCTATAGCTTCAGATTTAAATATCTTTAGTCCCAGGTTCTTCAGGATTTATCAGGGGCACTTGTTGCCAGTTAGAATTTCAGACATTAATGAATACTTTTGACAACACTAAGGGGAAAATGCAGGGCCTCTGAGACACAACTGTAGTAAGAGAGAAGGAAAGTAGAGGTAGTGAGAAGCCAGTAAGAGGCGAGCCAGGCAGCAGTTGCGGTGTGCTTTTAAAGGTGAGCTTTCACAACACTGTCAGGGATTTAACCATAAATTTAAATTCTTTTTCAAATATTGGCAACTCAGTTAAAAATTTTCTGGTATTTTTTTGCTGGGGCGTGGGTGCAGTCATATTGCTGGCTTATCAACTCTTTGAATCTGGCCTATAAGGGAAGGAGAGATGTTTATAATCTACAGTGGCACTTTTGTTCCCATAACAACAACAAAATTGCCAGAATTGATAGGAACTTGTCAGGATTGGCATTAAGAAATGTGGATGAAAGCAGAGTTTAGTATAATGCAAATATTATACTTTCCTTTTTTATTTTATTCTATCTTAGATGAAAGCACACACACACCTCTATACTTGTTTGTGCATTTATACAAATATAAATGGTATACCCTAAATTGGCTATATAAAAGCATCCTTTTGAGGTGGCATCTTTTTGAGGTGGGTTAAAATAAGCTCCTTCATTTAAAAATGTTGATTACTGCACATAATATGTATTTTCTCAGAATATTTTGCTGTTCTGCTTATGTGATAGACCAGTTTTAAGCTTTTGAAAATTTTAATCTCTGTGAAAGTCAAATTTTAAGTAGAAATAGTTCTTTAATTTACATTTACAATCATTTACAAGTGACTTGGTTTAAAATAATGAGATATTTTTCAACTTATGTGTTTTTCTTTACCTTGGTGTTGTGAAATGTTTAATTTCCTTTATTTCCATAGTGGGAGTGAAATGACTGCTCTTTGGTGCAGTTCACTAAGGGTTAAGTAGCAGAAAGCCAAGGTAAAAACCTTCCAATTGCTCTAAGGCCCACAGTTTCTGTCCCACAAGCATCTATCCCTTATTTCTTTATAAGATGAGCCATAAGCCGACTTCCCCATTGTGTCCTGCAGGTCATATTTAGGATTTGTGTTAATTTTAAGGGGCTTATGAAAAGACCTGTGTTGGACAAGGAAAGAATGGGTCCATTTGAGAATGTAAATAAGACACACAGCTTTGAAAGACAGCTGTACAATATTATTTGTAGGGATGATTAAACATAAAAATAGTGCTGTGATCTTAAAACAGTACATGCCAATATAATTTAGTGTCTGTTTCACAGAGACTAGCTTTAATTTAAACTGTAGTTTTAATGAGGAGCAGGCTATTTACATTTGCTGTGTAGATGGTGAAAACTGAATTCAACTGTAAAATTGCTCCTAACTTAATTAAAGTAGGATGTTTTAATGGGAGTTTTTTGTTTTGCTTTTGTTTTAGTTTAATAGGAGCTTTGAGAAGAAGTACTAGCTTAACTTTTGCCATTGTGGTAAGAAATGTCATTGCTAGAAGAGAGCTTGACACGATAAAATTAGCTATAAATGTAACTTGATTTTTTTCCTTTCTGATACTGGGAAGGAACATGAGCTCTGCAGCGTCCAGTAGCAGCCTTTTCAAAGAAGCAAGTTTGGCTGATTACAAATAACCAGTTTGCTTATTTATCATGAATTGTGGAAGACACAAAATGTCAGTACGTATTGTTTATTCAATGTGACCTGTGCCAGTTGGCAGAAGTCTCAGAGGACTGCTTTGTCCCTTCCTCTGTCAGAACAGTGACTCTGTGTTGAGCCAATCCCTTCTGTGCATGAATGGAGAGATTTGGCCTCACCATTTTGAACGGTCCCACAGGCATGGATGTTTATAGTACACATCAAAGATCTCTTGAGTGTTGTCTGGGAAAATGTTTTGTTTTGTTTTTTGGTAATAGAAGGCTAATATTAGTGCTTGTTTGAGTACTAACCATAATATAATTAAAGGTATCAAGGCACAACGCAGATATGTGTTAGTGATTCAAAAGATTAAAAATTTGGTACATGTTCTTTTTTGAATGCAGAAAATAAAATGTGGTCTTCCCTGTTCCCCTTATCCCCAG